ATTGGGCCCACACGGTCAGACGACTTGGCATGTCTAGGGAAGAAACCAACTAAACCACCTTTTCTTTCTTTTAGCAGCTATTTAGTGAATGCCCACTGTCTGTAGGCACTGTTCTAGGTGGTGGGCATAGCACAATGGTCAAAGGACTCAAAGTTCTTGCTCTCATGGAGCTCATGATCAGAGAGGTAAGGAGAGAAACAGAAGACACTGGGTAAGGACACCAGGGGGAAGAGCGTTTTATTTTTTATTTTTTTTTTAAATATTTTATTTATTTACTTGAGAGAATGAGAGAGAGAGAGCACATGAGAGGGGGGAGGGTCAGAGGGAGAAGCAGACTCCCTGCTGAGCAGGGAGCCCGATGCAGGACTCGATCCTGGGACTCCAGGATCATGACCTGAGCCGAAGGCAGTCGCTTAACCAACTGAGCCACCCAGGCGCCCGGGGGGGGGCGGGAAGAGCGTTTTAAAGAGACGATGGTGATGGGCAGCGACACCCCCCCAGAGGAGGAGGGGGAGGAAGGGAAAAGCACAGGTTTGGGCACTAAGGAAGTCATATGCAGTTGTGCTACGGATAAAAATGAGCTGACAGGGTAAGCAGGGAGCATGAGTTAGGAAAACAGATGTACACTCTTGTTCTACAGACTGGCAGCAGAAGGAAAGAGAAATGGTGGTAAAGAGGTCATGAGAAGGTATTCTAATATGGGGGAAGGACTGCGTGTTAGGAATGGCAAGCACTGTCAGAGGAGTTAAAAATGGTTGGGGATGAGATGTCTTTGGCAGCTTCATGCCTCCTTGGGACCAACCATTCAGTAGCCTCTTCTTTGGTTTCAGGGTTCTTTGCTTGGACTGTGGCGAACAGATTCCCCGGGCGGTGCTGCAGGAGCGTTTTGAAGCCCTGAACCGCACCTGGAGTGCCGAGGCCCATGGCCTGGCTCCGGATGGCGACGTCTTTCTCACAGAGGAGCAGGTGCAGAGCTTTCAGGTCCCGTCCTGCGCTCGATGTGGAGGCCCCCTGAAACCAGATGTCGTTTTCTTCGGGGACACAGTGAACCCTGACAAGGTTGACTTTGTGCGCAGGCGTGTAAAAGAAGCGGACTCCCTCTTGGTAGTGGGCTCATCGTTGCAGGTATCTGACTTGCTCAGGGTGGTGACTGCCCCTTTTGTGGGATGGAGAACCCGGGAGAGGCTTCCTGTTTGGTTTCTGTCTTCCGCATCGAGAGTTCTCACCGGTGTCTTCTTCTTGTAAGGTGTACTCCGGCTACAGGTTTATCCTCACTGCCCGAGAGAAGCAGCTCCCAATTGCAATACTTAACATTGGGCCCACACGGTCAGACGACTTGGCATGTCTGAAGCTGGATTCTCCTTGCGGAGAGTTGCTGCCTTTGATAGACCCACGCTGACCACAGCCTGGTGATCCTGAGCCCGAAGCTGGGACTTTCACTGTAATCCTATTAAAGGTAAATGCTTTCTTAGGTAAGTTTCCAGTTCCCATTCAACTGAGAGCACTGACAAAATATAGGCTTCTTAATGTATGGCCATTTTTTTTTTTTTTAAGATTTTATTTATTTGACAGAGAGAGACACAGCGAGAGAGGGAACACAAGCAGGGGGAGTGGGAGAGCAGGGAGCCCGATGTGGGGCTCGATCCCAGGACCCTACGATCATGACCTGAGCCAAAGGCAGACGCTTAACGACTGAGCCACCCAGGCGCCCCAATGTATGGCCATTCTTAATTAAAACGGATTTATTTTTTTTACTTTATAATTTTTATTATTATTATTTTTTAAATTTTATTTATTTATTTGAGAGAGAGAGAATGAGAGATAGCACAAGAGGGAAGAGGGTCAGAGGGAGGAGCAGACTCCCTGCTGAGCAGGGAGCCCGATGTGGGACTCGATCCCGGGACTCCAGGATCATGACCTGAGCCGAAGGCAGTCGCGTAACCAACTGAGCCACCCAGGCGCCCTAATTTTTATTATTTTTAAAAGATTTTTATTTGAGAGAAGAGAGAGCGTGCCAGCACGCGAGCAGGGGGTGGGGAGGGGCTGAAGGAGAGGTAGAGGGAAGACTCTCAAGCAGATTCCCCACTGAGCACACAGCTGGACTTGGGGCTCGATCTCACAACCCTGAGATCATGATCTGAGCCGAAAGCAAGAGTCGGTGCCCAACAACTGAGCCATACCAAGAGCCCCTATTAAAAATTTTTTGATTTATTTACTTATTTTAGAGAAAGAGTGTGAGTGGGGGAGGGGCAAAGAGAGAGGGAGAGAGAGAGAAGCAGACTCTCTGCTGAGTGTGGAGCCCCACTCCTGGCTCCAACCCATGTCTCTGAGATCATGACCGGAGCCAAAATCAAGAGTCAGACACTGAACCAACTGAGCCCCACTGTATGCCCCTTAATAAAAACTAATTTTTTAATGTGCATTAAACTATAGTGCTTGAAAGACTATGATGTTCCAGTTCTAGGTACGTGCTATTTATTTAATTTATTTGAGAGGGACGGGGAGAATCTTAAGCAGCCTCCACGCCCAGCCCCAGCTGAGGCAGGGCACAATCTCACACCTCTGACATCATGACCTGAGCTGAAATCAAGAGTTGGACACTTAACTGACTGAGACACCCAGGCACCCTGGCACATGCTATTTAAGATAATCTTTCAAAATCTGCCATTTCTTTTTTCCCCCCGTTTTAAAAAGATAACAGCTTTATTGAGACATAATAAACATACCATAAAGTTCACCCTTTCGAAGTATACAATTAAGTTGTCTTACAGTACACTCACAAAGTTGAACATTACTCACTACTGTCTAATTCCAGAATATTTTCATCATCCCAAGAAGAAACCTTGTACCCATTACCAGTCACTCCCCACTCCCAACCCTACCACCACTCCCCAGTCCCTGGCAACAAGTAATCTATTTCTGCCTATTCTAGACATTTCATATAATCCGTGGCCTTCTGTGTCTGGCTTCTCCACTTGGCATAATAGTTTCAAGGTTCACCCATACTGTAGCATGTGTTGGTACTTCATATCCATTTTAATCTATGAATACAACCATTTAAGCTTTATTGAGATACAGTTCACAAACCATACAGTTTACTCATTTATACAATTCAATAGTTCTTAGTATATTTCTAGGGAAATACAACCACTTAAAAAAAAAAGACTTTGGGACGCCAGGGTAGCTCACTTAGTTAAGCGGCTGCCTTCAGCTTATGTCATGATCCAGGGGTCCTGGGATTGAGTCCCTCGTCAGGCTCCTTGCTCAGCGGGGAGCCTGCTTCTCCCTCTGCCCTGCCGTTCCCCCTGCCTGTGCGTGCTCTCTCTCTCACAAATAGATAAAATCTTAAAAAAAAAAAAAAAAGATTTTAATTTTTGGAGTAGTTTTAGGTTCACAGCCAAACTGAGCAGAAAGTACAGTGTCCCATCCACCCCCTTGCCCTGTACACTCAACACAGTATCATTCACCTGCTGACATCTTGGTTGTTTCCAAGTGTGTGGCAATTATGAATTAAGTTGCTGTAAATGTGTGTAGGTTTTTGTGTGGGCATAAGTTTTCAACTCATCTGGGTAAATACCAAGGAGCAAGATTGCTGAATCATATGATAAAAATATGTTTAGTTTTGTATGCAACTGCCAAACTGCCTTCCAAAATGGCTGCACCATTTTGTATTACCACCAAAGAATGAGAGTTCCTGTATAAGCAGGAACTATTTTTAATATTTTAAAACTATTTTTTTAAAGATTTTATTTATTTGAGAGAGAGAGAGACAGCAAGAGAGGGAATACAAGCAGGGGGAGCAGGAGAGGGAGAAGCAGGCCTCCTGCCGAGCAGGGAGCCCGATGTGGGCTATACACCCCTAGTATACTTTAATTTAAAATAGTTTTAAAATATGGGGTGCCTGGGTGCCTCAGTCGTTAAGCATCTGCCTTCGGCTCAGGTCATGATCCCAGGGTCCTGGGATCGAGCCCCTCATCGGGCTCC